GAATTTAATTCTACTAATGAAACAGATTTTCAAATTTATATATTTAAATTTTTACATAATTCTTCTTCACATAATTTTCTTATCATTACATTTGATTTTTTAAATAAATAAATAACTATATATATATAATGTGTATATATATCTTTTTATAGAAATTTTCAAAGTTACAGTTACTCTTTGTAAAGCTCTGTACGGAATTGATTTATTTTTCAAGATATTTAATAACTCTTCTATTAAATATCTTTGTTTGAAGTGTCGAATACGTTGTTGCTGAATTTCAACGTATACGAAAATATAAGTTAAGAAATGGCAAGTGGATCGTTTGAATTACTTATAGTCTAAAATTTGCCTCATTTAAAGCAGTAGAATGCCCTCCAGAGTTCTCTGGAGTGGAAACTTATCTCTAGGTAACCGTGTATGTTTCAAAGAAAATTTTAATTACATTTTAACATTTATTGTTTCATAGATCTCACTAAATCTAAATATTTCTAAATCATGTTAAATAATTATATTTATGAAAATCGATACATGAATAAATTTCAGTTTAAGGAAATAAACCTTTGGGGCAATTTAATTTCTAACTTTAACTCAATTTATGTATGAAATGCCATACTATTATGCACAAAAAATTACGTGACTTAAGTCTAGGCATTATGGCTGCTTCACGAAAAGTCTGAACATAAATTGGCTTTTTACTTTCAAGTTACAATTTGGCAGTTAAGAAATGGAATTGACAGATATCCTAATCTTGAATATAAATAAAATTCTCATCAATGGTATATGTATTTAATGATATACACTTTTTCAGTCAAAAAGTGCATAGAGATATACTTACAAATTCTATAAAATGATATGTAATTTTTAATTAAATGTTTTTGTAAATACAACAAAACGAAGCAGAATATGAATTAATATTAAATCTTAGAACAAAATTACAAAATATTTAATTTATCAAAATTCTTCTAAATTGTAGTTTTTACGTCATTAACATCGAATATGTATTTAAATTTTGATATTTATTTATTTAAAATATTAATTAATATAAAAAAAGTCTGTGTTTGTGGCTTTTTTTTGTTTTTTTTAAAGATGGCATTTCTTCACAATATGTTATAACTTATTAATATATTTAATATAATTAACTTAAATATATGTTACTGCAATTTGAAAAAATATTACACATATAAATTCCCGTCGTTTTCATTTCTTTGTTGTGATACCGTGGTACCAAGTATACGCTGTAATCTGTGTGTTACAATAAATGAAATAGATAAATGGATGTCCGCCTGTCTTTCTTTAGTCTCAAGAATGGAAATAGATAAATGAAATTCGAGATCAGATTTGGAAACTCACGGGCAGGAGGCTTCTATTAACTATATACGTACTTCCGATACAAACGGTAGTCGCGGTATTTAAATTTAAAACGTTTTCTCTGAATGATGATAGAGAGATGACTGGCACAACTCTACTGTTAAAGTATGATATACAGGGAAAAGCCACCATTATGTCAGGTCAGAGAGAATATATTTTAAATTAAATTAATTAAAATTATTATTAAAAATTTCAGCCCGACATTGTAACGATTTAACAATAAAGAATTGCGTGTTACTTATTAATATTTTAAATTTTATTACGATGACTGCTTATGCACTGTCGGTGTCCAGATTGTACTCCTACATACAATTACCGTCTTCACTTATTATTTAGAAGCGTGGTATATCGCTGTTTAAGAAACGGATTAATAGAAACCAAAGCAATACTGATCAAGAAAATTCCACATACAGAAGAATAAAATTTTTATAACTTTGAATGTTTTAATATTATTTTTAAATAAAAGCATTAGTCACAATTATTCAGTGATTCGGTCATGTAATAAGTAAAAGTTCACATTTTAAAGGTTTAAAAGCTATTGGGATTTTTCAGTAACATACATGGAGCAGTTGTTGATATAGGCTTTATTGATGAAGGAAATACATTTCGGATCTTAACGACCCCTGTTTATTCCATATACTTTACAAAAGGAAAATAGATCAGTATTACATCATACATAATAATATTTATAATATTAAATTTTTTTAACTTACATAGTTAATTATTGGTTACAAATTGATATTAAAGAAAAGATTGGGTAATTGACTGGATAGAATCTGTTTACAAGGTCTGCTGTATAAGATAAAATAAAGGAGATAAGTAAAACAGTTAAATAATAAATAAAGTTTAAATTAAGAAAGTTACGTTATAAAATGGTATACATTGTTATTACCTGTAGATTGCTAGAAAATATTGTTATTACTGTATAAATTACCAAAAAAGTTATCTAAGTTTTTTTGTAAATTTGAATCCACGTCTTTTCCGGTTTTCTTTATTTCTTTAGCACGATGAAGTGCGATTAATCAGACACTAGAAAGTTTTCCATTCTGTATTTATCCAATTTCAGTTAATACGCGTTTCGAGCTCACGATGCCCCTCTTCAGTTAACTGTTGTTGAAAATGTACATTCAATTACTACATACAGTATAATTAAATCTATGAAACTACTCTTATAATTTTTTCAGAGAACATACCTTCTATTTTGCACTTCATAGTGATATTTAAACATAATTCCTTAAGATGGGTTCATATATTTATAATATTTTAAACTAAGATTTTTGTTTATACTGTTTTTATTACTCAGGATTTCTATGCTTTCCTTAAATTTTCTCTTATATGTATTTTTTTCTTTTCGTAAAATTGTTCTTATTATCTTTATCTATATTGCAATTATTTAGCGTGCAGTGTTCGTTAAACGCTGAATTATATATACTATATTTTACATCCTCTATGTTCTTTAAGTCTAATTTTCATTTTTCGTTTTGTTTCCACTATATAATATTTTGCAGTGTCACATGTGTTTAATTAATTTAGAACACATTCAATGCTTTCCGTCAACACTTACTAAAATTAATTTTATTTAATANAACAAAACAAAAACCAGTAAATTAATCATTTTGGTAACTTTTATTAATGCTGAACATAACATTTCAAGTTCGAGAAAGTGCAATTTTTTGCTTATTTATGGAAAAGATCAAAGGAAAAGTAATATAACTAAGTTAATTTATAAGAGATGAAAAAAGGTAACAAATAAAATGAAAACTACTTACTTATTATGTATTTTAGTCATCAATATACTCGTATATAAAAGAACAAGTCCTGTTAGGATAATTAACGCAGAGCCAAAACTACTGGTGCTAGAAACTTAAAAATTTAAAGGTGTGTTCCTTTTGTAAAGTTTAGGTGTACTAAGAAAAGATTTCACTTAATTCAACCCTAAAGGGGTGAAAAGGATAAAATTTTGTATGAAAATTTTTACTGCGTGGGCACATTATATCAAAACTTAGGTCATAAAATGTGAAAAATTATAATTAATGATCTGTAAAGCGTTTTTGTGAAATCATCCCTTATTATAAACTTAAAAATTAAATTAACTTTTTTGTTTCATTGTAGAAAATTATTTATCATAACTGAAGTTTCAGGCACCTTGGTAGCCTGAACGGTCCCAGGCTTTCTCCCGTGCACGCTAAGTGACTTTCATTAAAGCATTTAGCTTTCCGAAATCTATGAGAACAATTATTTGGCATTGATGGTTGCGAATTTCCGCGCCAATAAGCTGCCTCGACTTATTCGATTATGTTATCAACTCAATTTCATATTTATTTTCACATTTTTACTTCGCGGTCCTTCTTGGTTTTTTTTCCATTATTTACACGTGTAGGTCATTTAATTGTTATCCACATTTGATATCATCACTTATCACATATTGCCATGACGACCGTGTTTCTCCGCTACAACTGTCAAGAATTAACGCAATTGGCAAAGCGTAGTGACAGCGGGCTAATAGAGAGCAGTGTGAGATCCGAAAGGCCCTCCTGGGTCTAATTTGTGAATTTTTATTAAATATGTTTAAATATAGACACGAAATATTACTTCGTTTTTGTGAAAAAAAAATATTGTTTTAGACGTGGGAAAAACCAGATAACAAATGTTATTTCCTTTCATCGAAGAGAACAACCTCTGTTTTCCTGTATCTGGTTAAAAATCTCGCTCAGATGGGAAATGGTTACCCCTCGTTCATCCCCCTTTCGTCCGTTCTCACGAAAGAGTTACTGGACGATGATTGGACGAAATTTTGAAATAAAAGGGGAGATTAGTCAGAATTCGAGGAGTTCTTCGACAGATCCGAAGCATACAAACTCCACATACGTTCCCGCCTGATGGCCAACGCCCATAGCGGAGTCCGATAGACTAAGTCCCGAGTCTACACTTAGAAGAAGTGATATCTTTATATTTTGTGCACGAATTGATCTCCCATATGGAAGTAATATGAACCCCATCTACAATGAGTCCTTTACCTATACAGATGAAGACGAACGACGACAACTAAACAGGTCGTATGTCTAGAATAATTTTGTGAGCTCTCTCTCTCGAACGCGCATTAACCTAGAAGAGGTTTTAACCTCTAGCTTGTCGTTTAATTGTTGTGATCGATTATTTGTATTCGTTTGTTTAGTTATATTAAATTATACTTATGTTTAATATACAAAAATGTCTCTTAATTGGGTGTCCGAATCAGATCGCATACGCGTGTTTGTCCGCGCATCGATAAATTGACAAACTGGTGTCGGGAACCTGACAATTGGGATAAAGACCTCATAGTCTAGAATTCCCCTTTTACCAAAATATCACCGCCCTCCGGTCAAACAAATCTTGACATAAGATCAGATCTAGTGATCTGCATCCTAGAGGACTGGTCTTACCGACTAGTGCCCGTAAGTGGCGTAGATTGAGCTCTGCGTCCTTGGCGACTTTCACTGCAGGTTACGCAATCCTTGCCATAGTGCGGTTTGCATGCCAATTTTCGTATGTGCGTTAATCAAGCTGAATAGTTTGGCCGAATATTCGGTATTCGGCATGTGGCCGAATATACTATTCGTTGAATCACTAGTAAAAATGGAACTCTNACCACTAAAATCGAAACGAAGAGACCATACATGTGATACCTGCGGTAAAAGTTTTGAATCCTCATCTGCTTTCATATGGCACCTGATATATCCTGAAAGAAAACGACCATTTTCATGTGATATTTGTAAGAAAACGTTCAAATATAAATTTGAGTTAAAAAGACACATGAAAATAGAACATTCACATGAAGAAACCATAACTTCTTCCAAAGTAAGTAAAGAAAATTTCTGAAATTCACTTTTTAAAAATTCCTTGAATATTATAATGTAAAAAAGTTATTCAGCTTTAAAAAATTTTTAAATTGCTTCTCAGATTCTTTTAAGTCACTTTATTACGTGTTACCATAAATAATTTTATTCTGTAATCCTTCATTTATTAAATAACACTGCATTGTTCATTTAAAATAAAATAGTAATAGAAAACAAAAAGTCAATATTGTGAGTTAGTACTTTCAGTCATTCGATAACCAGCAACCATCAGGTTAAACATACTTATTAAAATTATTTGTTATAAGTTTAGTCGTAATATTTGTTTCGAAATATATTTTTCTCTACATAAGCTTTCTTACAAAAACAATTTCTGTTTAAATTGTTAAATTTTTTCAGCTTTAGCACTTGATTGCTTATTGTTGTTTTTTTTTTTTTTTTTTTTTTTTTTTGTTATTTGTTCTTTACAATTAAGAACAAAATTGGTACAGAGAACTTATCATACAGACACAATTTGCACGATGAAAAAAGTACATTTTATTTTTTTATTAATTATATAATTAAATGCATTGCGGGTCATATGCCGCTCATCAGTCTATATTTTATGGTGTAAACATATAAGAAATTACACAAGATTGTAATACTTATTTATGTTTTACATACGTTTAGAACTTGCAAAAAAGGATTAAAGAATGCAACTAATAATAACTAATAACGTAAAGTAAAACTAGAATATCGAAAACAAATAAATAGATATAATAACATCACTGAACAGAAATAATAATAATAAATAGGCAGTGCCTGTGATTTTGCGTTTTGTGTAAAGATTACCAGTTGGATATTTTTATAAATGAAAACTTAAAAAAGCAAAATAAAAATTATTTTAGCGTGCTTTATTCAAAGTAATATAGAAGTTGTAACACTTCAATAAACATAACTTTAAAATTTTTTTTTAATTAAGTTGAAAATTTTTTCTTCTATTTTAGTTACAAAAATACCGAAGTACAACATTTTATAATTTTCAACGTTTTAAAATACTTTTTAAGATAAATTTTAAACAGATAATTATTTACGTTAAAAATCAAAATTTAAATGAATAGTAAAATAGTTTGATTTGTGAAGAGAAAGGAAATAAATCAATATCTAAATGATATATCACTATTTAATTTAATATTTTAGAAAAGTGTGAAAAAAGTTGAAATTTGTTGAAATTTTGTGCCCATTTATGACTGACGCCGTGGGATGTTGCCTAATTTGCAGAAATGATAGCGCTTACTATATCTAAATACATATACATGTTAAGTAATATGTATGACTTCTTAAAATTTAGAATTTAGAAAAGTTTATTCATAAAACGTATATCATGACCAATGCCGAATTTTCAAATTTCTGTTACAGCAGTAAATATCCGTAGTCAAATATTATCTGCATGTTAAATACAGGCAAGATTTGACGCGAATTAAGTTTTCATTAACATTGAAAAAATAAAATTTTATTATAGAGTTAATTATCTACATCAATATTCGTATTTGTATTCGAAGGAAATCTACTTTTTAAAAACATTTTAAATAAATTTACTCGTAATAATTATTTCGAAATATATGTTTTTTCAAGCTAGTTTTTTTAATGATGACATTCTCTTCTAAATTAGAATTTCTTTCTCACATAGAAATGTTAATAAAATCATAAAAATTTTAAATAATATAGAAGTTTAAATATGATGTAAATTAAATTTTAATTGTTTCAATTTACATGAAATTTTATATATTTCCATTTATTGAATTGAACTCCTTCGTTATATTTATGATATTTACTTTTAGAAATGCATAGAACATGGCCAAGAAGTGCAATCAGATTTTTTTCAGACACCATCAACAAGTTTTGAAGAAAGAGGATCAATTGAACCTGAACAACCGGCTTCAGAAGAGAGTATTTTCACACCAGGAGAAGCTGAAGAATTTCTTAAAGATTTTAACATCGATTTAGAAATTATGAACTTAGAAACATCTTCACAACTGGAGTTATTCTCAGAGATTGAAAACGATGAAGATAATTTCGAATGTCAACTTTGTGGACAACAGTTTTCTGCCGAAATTTCTTTAAAGGAACACGAGAAACAATTTCACCAATCTAAATAATTCTGGACATTTAACTTTGAAATAATGTAAATTCAAAAAGTCAAAAATTATTAACATTTTTGTATATTGGTGTGAGACTAATGAAAATTAAACATTAGTAAAACAATTTTAGTTACAGCACAGTTAAATGAAATAACATTAGAAAATTTTCATATAAATGAATTTATTGTAGTAATTATTTCATAAAATTACTGTACATTTGAAGAACGATACTTTTGGTCCGAAATAAAATTTAAAATTTTTATTTGAAATCAAATAGCTTAAAATGAATAAATTTACGTTTACAGAATTAAATGCATGTCACAGATTTCTAACTTATTTTTACAGTAGGTAGAAGTTCATTTATGAGTAGAGTGTGAGACTAATCGGGGGTAGGATGTTACGAGGTTTTCACTCTGCTACCTCTTAATCGATTCGAGACCTTGAGGTCCGGCCCCGCTTGTCTAAAGGATGGTAAAAAGGGTTTAGGGGAAAAGATCGTTAAATTCTTTCTCCCGTCAGGATCTGACACCAATCTATCATTTTTTAGCGGTAGATACGCGGTTAATTTGAGGAGGAATTATCACGAGCGATCTCGTCGAGGACTTCGGGTTCAGTATGGAGGTGATAATGCCGGAAGAAACGCCCACCAATCCAAGTTCATTAACAATATACCCGTTTATTGTTGAACATATTTGCATAGATAATTAATTAAGGAGTCGATCTGTACGATCCCTCTCGGGATTTTCAATTTGTATAATTCATAAATTTCGGATGGAATAACGGACAAAATATATATTAATCGCGACCTTAACCGCGAGTTGGAAATATTCGAGAGAGAGCTTACATATCATCGCGAGTAGAATAAATACCTCTGGTTATAAACGTTGATGTCTAGGTTGATGTCTGGCTGATTTAAATTCTCGTTCTTCCCAGTTCGTAATTCAGTCCAAAGTTGTAGTCAAGTTCAAAGACGTAATCAAAGTCAAAATTGTAAATTCTATCGAAGACGGTGGCGACAAGAGGCAGGTAATCCACACACACACAGTAAGAAAAATAACTTTACCCCCTTTTTGTCGTCATCGCTCTTGCCTTTTATATGGGGGCTCTCTTTTCGAGATCTCCCTTGACCAATGGTGGGAGAAGTGACAAAATTATGACACAACAGTTAACTCATCTTCTACAGGGAAGTATTTTCGTGGGAACGGACTTTTATGAGCGATTTTTATAAGAAAATTTGTCGATTGTTTTTCTCTTTTTGAGTTAACCCTAACTTTTATAAAATCGTTTTGGTTTTCAAACAAAACGGTAGATAAAAATGAATAAAAATATTCGAATCTCAGCCTTCTTAAATTCTGGCCCTCACAGAGTGAAGAACGTGTACTCACAGTAGGTCATTAGATAACGCGAAAATGAAACGAATCAAAATGAGAATAACTCAACTAAAGTAAGAATAACTTAAGTAAAATAAGTAACAAATATTCTGCTTCTTCTCCTACTATTGTTAAATTATTATTGAGCACTATGATTAGTTGCTTATTAAGACTTGACACAGTATTCAGTACTTAATAAAAATATTTTAGATGGCAAAAATTAAAATTCGGGTAACCAAATGATTCATGGCATGGTTGTTATAATAAGATATATGGGTTTAAAAGTTATGGATTACATATTTGTAATTTAGTGCGTGTAATGACTGAAGAAACTTGACTCACTAAAATGCATACCGTAGTTAGAAATAAATGTTTAATGTTTAGCATTCTTTGTGTAAGATGTAATATTAACTCTTGTAAATTAAAGGGTACAGGATGAACTTTTCGAAAATATGACAACAGATGATCGCTATTCAAAAATGTTTTTTCAAAGAGTTTCTCTGAATTTTAGATGATGGGTATTATAGTCCGATCTTGTTACGTTGTTTACATGCAAAAGATTTCCTTGCTTTCCGCATTTACTTTTTATACAACGATTTTTTTAAGACGATGCTGTTTTTTAATCTACAGGAATATATTTTTGCTGGTTGATAAATATTGAGATTAAGGCAATTAATGCGTGGTATATGGTGCATATTCACATGCACTGTATACTGCGCCGTTCATAAAATCATTGTCTACGGTAGCTTTTTACAGATTTTTCAAAGTTTTTTGAATGGATGAAAGAAACCTTAACCAATATATTTTAACAATGGCATAAGTTTTGTAGGAATTTATCATTTTTTTCATCAAGTAACTTTGAACATGTTTCTAGACAAAGTAAAAAAAAAAAATATTATTTGAAAGTTTATTATTAATCCAGCTGCTCCTTGGTAGAGAGAATTTGTGAATATCCTGGAGCAAGGTTTAAAAAAGAACCTTGAATTTTCTTGCTTAGTGCTTACTTAGATCATGTAAACCGTCATATGTGATTGTGAAGTCATTTTAAACAACAGCCTTCTTATAGTCATGTCTACTGATCCAGATTTAACCCTGGTGACTTAATACCAACGTAAACACAAATTATTTAAAACGCAGATTAGGTTACGTACAAGATGTTCGTGAAGCACTTAAAAAAGATTTAAAGTAGAATATTCGGTAATAAATCGGTGTTGCAAACGAAGAAATAATAGTTATAAATATAGTGTTAGTATTACAGCTAATGTCAAGTATTTCTTAAGAGTAGCGAGAAGGAAGGATTATAAGCTCAAATAATCGAATTATTGCCAAGTGCAGATGGAGTAAGTCGTGCTAAAATTAGTATGCTTATTATTTAAATAATTTTTTCAAATCATCAATTTCCCAACGGTAGTGCAACATGAAATTATTTTAATTCTTTACCTTCGAAATTGAAAAATACTTCAATGTAATCAATAAAGAAAAAAAAATTCAATTTTATAAAAACTTAGCTTTTGTTCGAACTTTCCATAAGTAATTTTAATAACAATCTTCTTTCCTCTCCGTTATGCTTTAGTCTTGCTTCTCTCTATTTTCTCTCTAAATCAAAATTATTCAATTAATTGGTTTTTTTTATTTTNTCTCAAGCGCCTAACCTATAACCAGTCTCCTTTTAATTTGTTTTTGAAAAAAAGCGCTTGACAAACTTGCCCCGCATGCCGAAGTTGCCCCGGTCTCCCCTAATTAACTTAAATATATGTTACTGCAATTTGAAAAAATATTACACATATAAATTCCCGTCGTTTTCATTTCTTTGTTGTGATACCGTGGTACCAAGTATACGCTGTAATCTGTGTGTTACAATAAATGAAATAGATAAATGGATGTCCGCCTGTCTTTCTTTAGTCTCAAGAATGGAAATAGATAAATGAAATTCGAGATCAGATTTGGAAACTCACGGGCAGGAGGCTTCTATTAACTATATACGTACTTCCGATACAAACGGTAGTCGCGGTATTTAAATTTAAAACGTTTTCTCTGAATGATGATAGAGAGATGACTGGCACAACTCTACTGTTAAAGTATGATATACAGGGAAAAGCCACCATTATGTCAGGTCAGAGAGAATATATTTTAAATTAAATTAATTAAAATTATTATTAAAAATTTCAGCCCGACATTGTAACGATTTAACAATAAAGAATTGCATGATACTTATTAATATTTTAAATTTTATTACGATGACTGCTTATGCACTGTCGGTGTCCAGATTGTACTCCTACATACAATTACCGTCTTCACTTATTATTTAGAAGCGTGGTATATCGATGTTTAAGAAACGGATTAATAGAAACCAAAGCAATACTGATCAAGAAAATTCCACATACAGAAGAATAAAATTTTTATAACTTTGAATGTTTTAATATTATTTCTAAATAAAAGCATTAGTCACAATTATTCAGTGATTCGGTCATGTAATAAGTAAAAGTTCACATTTTAAAGGTTTAAAAGCTATTGGGATTTTTCAGTAACATACATGGAGCAGTTGTTGATATAGGCTTTATTGATGAAGGAAATACATTTCGGATCTTAACGACCCCTGTTTATTCCATATACTTTACAAAAGGAAAATAGATCAGTATTACATCATACATAATAATATTTATAATATTAAATTTTTTTAACTTACATAGTTAATTATTGGTTACAAATTGATATTAAAGAAAAGATTGGGTAATTGACTGGATAGAATCTGTTTACAAGGTCTGCTGTATAAGATAAAATAAAGGAGATAAGTAAAACAGTTAAATAATAAATAAAGTTTAAATTAAGAAAGTTACGTTATAAAATGGTATACATTGTTATTACCTGTAGATTGCTAGAAAATATTGTTATTACTGTATAAATTACCAAAAAAGTTATCTAAGTTTTTTTGTAAATTTGAATCCACGTCTTTTCCGGTTTTCTTTATTTCTTTAGCACGATGAAGTGCGATTAATCAGACACTAGAAAGTTTTCCATTCTGTATTTATCCAATTTCTGTTAATACGCGTTTCGAGCTCACGATGCCCCTCTTCAGTTAACTGTTGTTGAAAATGTACATTCAATTACTACATACAGTATAATTAAATCTATGAAACTACTCTTATAATTTTTTCAGAGAACATACCTTCTATTTTGCACTTCATAGTGATATTTAAACATAATTCCTTAAGATGGGTTCATATATTTATAATATTTTAAACTAAGATTTTTGTTTATACTGTTTTTATTACTCAGGATTTCTATGCTTTCCTTAAATTTTCTCTTATATGTATTTTTTTGTTTTCGTAAAATTTTTCTTATTATCTTTATCTATATTGCAATTATTTAGCGTGCAGTGTTCGTTAAACGCTGAATTATATATACTATATTTTACATCCTCTATGTTCTTTAAGTCTAATTTTCATTTTTCGTTTTGTTTCCACTATATAATATTTTGCAGTGTCACATGTGTTTAATTAATTTAGAACACATTCAATGCTTTCCGTCAACACTTACTAAAATTAATTTTATTTAATANTTTTAATTTTCTTTTTCTATATCTAATAAATAGCTACCACTAAAATCGAAACGAAGAAACCATAAATGTGATACCTGCGGTAAAAGTTTTGAATCCTCATCTGCTTTCATATGGCACCTGATATATCCTAAAAGAAAACGACCATTTTTATGTGATATTTGTAAGAAAACTTTCAAACGTAAATATCACTTAAATAGACACGTGAAGAAAGTACATCGACAGAAACAAACGGCATCTTCTTCCAAAGTAAGTAAAGATATTTTCTGAAGTTAATCTTTCAAAAATTCCTTCAATATTATAATGTGTATAAAGTTATGTAACTTGTAAAAAATTTTTTAAATTGTTTCTCAGATTCTTTTAGGTGACTTTATTACGTGATTACCGTAAGTAATTTTGTTCTGTAATCCTTCATTTATTAAATAACACTGCACTGTTCGTTTAAAGTAAAGTATTAATAGAAAACAAAAAGTCATATTGTAAGTTAGTACTTTCAGTCATTCTTGTTAGTACTTGTTATTAATTGCTACAGAGAACTTATCATACAGACACAATTTGTACGATGAAAACAGTACATTTTATTTTTTTTAATTATATAATTAACTGCATTGAGGATCATATGCCGCTCATCAGTCTATATTTTATGGTGAAACATATAATAAATTACCGAACAAAGTAACATTTATATTTTACATACGTTTAAAACTCGCGAAAAAAGTTTAAAAAATGTAACTTGTGTAACTAATAAGTTAAAAAAACTAGAAAATCAAAAACGAATAAATAAATATAATAACATGACTAAATACTAATAAAAATAATAAATAGGCATTGCGGGTGGAAGGTGGTTTTGCGTTGTGTGTAAAGATTACTAGTTGGATATTTTTATAAATGAAAACTTAAAAAAGCAAAATAAAAATAATTTTGGCATGCTTTTTACTAATATCCAAAGCAATATAGAATTTGTAACACTTCAAAAAACAGAACTTTAAAAATTATTTTTAATTAATTTGAAAATTTTCTTTTCTATTTTATTTACAAAAATACCGAAGTATAATATTTTATAATTTTCAACATGTTTTAAAATATTTATATTAGATAAATTTTAAATAGATAATCAGTTATAATTATTTACGTTAAAAAATCAAGATTTAAATGAAGAGTAAAATAGTTTGATTTGTGAAGAGAAAGGAAGAAGATCAATATCTAAATGAAATATTACTATTTAATTTAATATGTTTGTAAAGTATATATTAAGTATATGTTTAAATTTTCTGCCTATTTATGACTGAGGCCCTGGGATGTTGCCTAGTTTGCAAAAATGATAGCGCTGGCTATATCTAAATACATATACATGTTAAGTAATATATATAACTTCTTAAATTTAGAAAAGTTTATTCCCGAAATCTATATCATGACCAACGCCAAATTTTAAAATTTCTGTTACGGCAGTAAATATCAGTAGTCAAATATTATCTGCGTGTTAAATACGGATAAGATTTGACTATGAATTAAGTTTTCATTGACATTGAAAGGATAAAATTTTATTCTCATCAAGTTAACTGTCTACATCATTATTCGTATTTGTATTCGAAAAAACTCTACTTTTAAACAACAATTTAAATAAATTTACTCGTAATAATTACTTCTAAATATATGCTCCTTCACGCTAGTTTATTTAATAATGATATTTCGTTCTGCATAATAATGTTTTTCTCACAAAAAAAAAAATGTTATAAAAATTATGAAAATTTTAAATAATAAAGAAGTTTAAATGTGATGTAAATTACATTTAAATTATTTCAATTTACATGATATTTTNCATACGTTTAAAACTCGCGAAAAAAGTTTAAAAAATGTAACTTGTGTAACTAATAAGTTAAAAAAACTAGAAAATCAAAAACGAATAAATAAATATAATAACATGACTAAATACTAATAAAAATAATAAATAGGCATTGCGGGTGGAAGGTGGTTTTGCGTTGTGTGTAAAGATTACTAGTTGGATATTTTTATAAATGAAAACTTAAAAAAGCAAAATAAAAATAATTTTGGCATGCTTTTTACTAATATCCAAAGCAATATAGAATTTGTAACACTTCAAAAAACAGAACTTTAAAAATTATTTTTAATTAATTTGAAAATTATCTTTTCTATTTTATTTACAAAAATACCGAAGTATAATATTTTATAATTTTCAACGTTTTAAAATATTTATATTAGATAAATTTTAAATAGATAATCAGTTATAATTATTTACGTTAAAAAATCAAGATTTAAATGAATAGTAAAATAGTTTGATTTGTGAAGAGAAAGGAAGAAGATCAATATCTAAATGAAATATTACTATTTAATTTAATATGTTTGTAAAGTATATATTAAATTTAAATTATTTAAATTTTCTGCCTATTTATGACTGAGGCCCTGGGATGTTGCCTAGTTTGCAAAAATGATAGCGCTGGCTATATCTAAATACATATACATGTTAAGTAATATATATAACTTCTTAAATTTAGAAAAGTTTATTCCCGAAATCTATATCATGACCAACGCCAAATTTTAAAATTTCTGTTACGGCAGTAAATATCAGTAGTCAAATATTATCTGCGTGTTAAATACAGATAAGATTTCACCGCAAATTAAGTTTTCATTAATATTGAAAAGATAAAATTTTATTGTAGAGTTAATTGTCGACATCAATATTTGTATTTGTATTCGAAGGAAATCTACTTTTAAACAAGAATTTAAATAAATTTCCTCGTAATAATTATTTCGAAATTTATGCTTTTTCACGCTAGTTTTTTTATTGATGACATTCTCTTCTGAATAAGAATTTCTTTCTCACAAACAATGTATAAAAAATAATAAAAATTTTAAACATTAAAGAAGTTTAAATGTAATGTAAATTAAATTTTAATTCTTTCAATTTACATTAAATTTTATATTTTTGCATTTACTAAATTGAACTCTCTAAATTGAATTCATGATATTTACTTCTAGAAATGTATAGAACATGGCCAGGAAGTGCAATCAGATTTTTTTCAGACACCATCAACAAGTTCTGCAGCAAGAGGATTAATTCAATCTGAACAACTGGCTTCAGAAGAGAGTGTTTTCACACCGGGAGAAGCTGAAGAATTTTTTAAAGGTTTTAACATCAATTTAGATATTATGAAGTTAGAAACATCATCACAACTGGAGTTGTTCTCAGTGATTGAAACGGATAAAGATAAACTCGAATGTCAACATTGTGGACAACAATTTTCTGACGAAATTTTTTTAAAAGAACACGAGAAACAATTTCACCAATCTAATTAATTTTGAACCTTTAACTTTAAAACAATATAAGTTAAAAAATTCGTCAAAAATTATTAACTTTTTTCTACATTGGTCTGCGACTGATGAAAATTAAACATTAGTAAAACAATATTAGTTACAGCACAGTTAAATGAAAAAACGTTGAAAATTTCCATATTAATTCATTTATTGTGGTAATTATTTCATAAAAGTACATTTGCAGAACGATACTTTTGCTACGACACCAAATTTAAAAAGTTATTATTTGAAATTAATTAATAGCTTTAATTGAATAAATTTACGTTTACAGAATTGAATGTGTGTCGCAGATTTCTAACTTATTTTAACAGTAAGTAGAAATTTATTTCTGAGTAAAGTGAAGAACGTAAACTCACATCAGCTCATTAGATAACGCGAGAATGAAACCACTCAAAATAAGAATAACTAAACTAAAGTATCAACAACTTAACTAAAATAAGAAACGATTATTATGCTTCTTGTTCCACTATTGTTAATTACATATTGAGCACTATGTTTAGTTTTTATTAAGACTTGACATAGTATTGAGAACTTACTCAAGGGTGAAATTTTAGATGGGAGAAATTGAAATTCTTTACACTTCGGGTGACCAAACGATTCATTGAATGTTTGTTAATACAAGATATATGGATTTAAAAGATATGGATTACATATCTGTAATTTAGTGAATGTAACAACAGAAGAAACTTGTCTTACTAAAATGCATACCGTAGTTACAAATAAATATTTACACTTGCCTTAAACACGAAAAACATCATTTTTTTTAATAGTAATAATTTAGACATATGTTACTGTTGAATATTGTAAATTGACTTCAATAATTACAACATAAATGGAAATTTTTTTAAATGTTCAGACATAGTTTGTTTGAAAATCGTGGTTACGTGATCGCGTTTATTTATGTGTATGTTGGTACTTACACAAGTATTTTAAAGTTCTCAATGGACAAGAAAAAGACATAAAACGTTAATATATTCTAATTAAATTTCTTATGACTGCTGTTAATATATGAATATTACAAGGTCTCTGTAAGTCCGCACGAAAAATATAAATTTTAAGTTTAGCGGTAGACCAACACACAGCTGTTATCTAATGACTTCTCTTTATTTAATGCATTTCGGTCCTATTAAGGGACCCTCTTCAGTACTATAAAATAAAAACATTTTTAATAAACCCTTTTGCGAGTAAAAATATCGATATAACAATTTACATTACCATTTAGAATACACAGCTTTGATTATACAGCTTTGAAAGTGTTAATAGAATGTATATTCAAAGCTGTGTATTCTAAATGGTAATGTAAATTGTTATATCGATATTTTTACTCGCAAAAGGGTTTATTAAAAATGTTTTTATTTTATAGTACTGAAGAGAGTCCCTTAATAGGACCGAAATACATCTACAGTAATTAAATAAAGAGAAGTCATTAGCTAACAGCTGTGTTGGTCTACCGCAAAACTTAAAATTTATATTTTTCGTGCGGACTTACAGAGACCTTGGAATATTCACATATTCGTTAATATATTCATTTTAATTTATGTACCCTTTTTTATGAATGATTATTTGGTTGCTATGAGAACCTGTGTAAAAAATTCTTTGTTTAATGTTCGAAATATGAGAGAAAATAGAAGAGTTGAGAAAAAACGATAATAAATCAAACAATCTTATTAACATTTTATATGAATGATATGCATTTCGAGTTTATGTAGCAATCTCATTCGATCCATGTTCTCTTCACATAGTTGCATATAAACATTTTCATTCAGAGTGACAGCAATGGTTTCGTGCCAAGTGAAAAAGTCACTAATCGACATTTACACATAAATCAAGTTTTTGATTTCTTTGTTCCTGATACATATCCCTACTATGAATATCTCATTTAAAGGATAATCGTTTTTTTAGGCAGTGTGCAAAATTTTAGTATTTTCCTTAATATATTACTGAAATATAAGCAATTAAAAATTGAAAATATAGCTTTCAAAGCTTTTTTTTCATTCGACATTGTAATCGCTCTTAGATCTATCAAGCTTAAAATTTAAACTCAGAAGACAGGTTTTACTAAACTGACCAAACTTAAAATTCAACACCGAAACAAGCAACACATTACTAGAAATCAATGTTCTTGATACATTTGTAGATCACCATCAAAGTATACTCAAATTTGAGGTAGGTAAACATAGATTACGATGATCTATAAGCAGACTGAAAATATTGATTTTTACTAAGATGTCACCTGTTTTAGTGTTGAATTTTTTAATGTATAAAGTGATCATTTAAACATAAAACGAATAATTAAAAAGATGAATTTTAATTCATTTTTTAGCGGTATATCCAATTTNTATATATATATATATATATATATGCGACTATAGGGTAAACCGGGAAATATGAACATCTTAAAGGATACGTCGATTTTCTTCTAAATTGAATAATATACAGACTGTTTTGACATAGTCAACTTCTTTATAGCTATATCTTCATACTGCAAGCATTTGGGTACAATAAGCCACTTATTTTCTGAACTGCAGCAATATTTTTAAAGAATTATATTTGTTTACATTACCCAGATTTCTGGGTAATACAATCAGTGCTCATATTAATAATTTTAATCCAAAAATGCAAACGTAAAATAATAACAACACAACTGAACTGAAGTCATTATATCGCCTATATCATATGAATCGTGTAACGAGTATACAGTACTTGTAATTTCTACATTTTTGCAAATACATGTATAATGTATTTGTATTAAACAAACATCTGTGCACTCACGAACATTCTTTTTTTAGATATATACTACAGCTAATTTAGAGCACAGTTCAAGTTTACAAATATAATTAGCAAACCATATTTTTACTTATTTCGACAGATTCATAGAAATTATCGCTGTAAAGCTTTTTCTACTGATGAATGTATGCGACTAGTTTGTTAAAAATGACACCCCGGAAGCGTGTTATACGTGGCAGCTTTCACTCACACTGTTGTTACGGAGTTACGAATGTATGCCCATATTCCCTATAAGCTTACTTTTCCACTTATGACGGTGCAGAACGTTAGTTTTGATTTTACTCTAAAGGCATTTATCATTAGAATTAGAATTTAAAAACTGTACATTTACAAGAAATATCTGACATAAAAATTCACTTGGTTTCACGAGAATTACTCCAAAATTTAATTACATCGATACAATAAAGGATAAATTTACAAATTAATATCATTACTTTTTAATGTAGAGATCAAATTTATTTTCAAGATTATTCAGCTAAAAATATTTAACAAATATCATAAAGGATTAAAACCAGACTATTCCGAATTACTGAAAAATATTTTGAACACAATTAGTGAAAATGTTTTTGTATTCAGTGAATATAAAATTAAAATTTAGAAAATTTCATCGAATGTGAAAATTAAAAAGAAAATGAAATTTCGAAAACATTCGAAAACAATTTAATGATTCTAGAGTATGAAGCATTCAGAGGTATAAAGAAGATTTTACTATACATACAAATTAACATTGAAGTTAATTTACTGTATAGCGTAAACATTGAATTAATCAATTAAATATCTACTAAATTTCTTTGTCATGGTTGATTATCTCTTTTTGAATTATCATTTGAATTTAAATTTTAAATAATTTTTTCTGTAACTTTGTTACGAAAATATTCAATTATAAGTATAAACAAAATATTCGTTACATAATACATGAGTTTTTATATACAGTAGAGCGTTGATTATCCGAAAGCCAATTATCCGAAAGAATTCCAGTCGGCAAATTTAAATTTTCGCCAGTGCTGTGGTGCTGCAATCTTTGGATATCTCTGGGGCTACTCAAATATTTTACGTTTTTGATACTAAATTAACTTCTGAAGTATAATTTTTTATTGTTTTTATATTTTTCAATATATTTATTTTGTTCGTACAAAATAAAAAAATAATTTTTAACGATACAATAGTCTTCGTTAGGCTTAACATCGACGAAAATTCAACGCGAAGCGACACGCAACGGAGAAAAATTTCAACACGGGATAAATTAATATATTTTTTCGTACATAATTGGTTATCCGAAAAATAAGTTATCTAAACAACCCCAGTTCCCAATTGATTCGGATAAACGACGCTCTACTGTACTATTATAAAGAGGTAATGTTTGTAAGTATGTAAGTAAGTTTGTATGCAGCAGGTAATCTCCGAAACTACTCATCCGATTTCAAAAATTCTTTCACCAATATTTAGAATGGAAC